AGTGGCTCTGCAAAGGGGCTGCTCCAGGGCCCAAACCAGGGACTCCATGGACAGCAACTGAGCTGTCTCCTCCTCACTGCCCATGCTATGCAGCAATGTTCTCTGCCCAGGCAGAAGGGAGTCTGCAGTTTTAACTGCTCAGAGTGGGTGAGAAAGGGAGGGCCAATTGTAATTCCAGATTGCTGCTCCATAGTGGGCTTGCATCAGCCTGTGGTGCCATTCTATTTGCATAAAGGGGTGGAGATTCTCTGCAATTTCAGCCACCTGATGTAACTTGAGAACTCAACTTGCCATGCCTGCTATGCCTTGCCTGCTCCCTCAGCTCCAGACAGCAGTCCTTCAAACTGAAAGCAATCACTGCTGAATGCACTCTAAAAGAAATCTGTGTGCTTATAATGACAAAACAGTGACCAGGCCTCCTCTACAAGAGACTTGAAAGAACGCTTTGCAAAGCTACCATGCTTTCAACATTTCTCTTCCCTCCAATGCTCTACAATATGAATACAAATAGATCTGTTTGTATTCAATACAAATATATGTTTTGTTCAAAACAACCTTGCTCTCTCCTTTAGTCCTCTCACTAAATATTTCTTCAAATTGAAGATTCTAATCCAAATGTATGCCTTTTCCAGTTATTTCCAAACTGAGTCTTTGGAAGTGATGGGGTGGTATGGGTGGAAAAACCTGACAATGGTCTCATTAGGTACACCCTTTGCTCATCCCAACTTCCATAGTAAAGCAGGCCAGAACATCCACGTGGATCATCCTTATTTTCAAACACTGCTCTCTATTTCTCTTACCTGCCTGCTCCCTCTTACAAGTATTTTCCTTGTACCCTCCACCTACTGTGAAAATTACCGGCACAAAATACATTTGTATACATAAAACATTAACACAAAATTCTTCCCAAAAGTAAAGCACCACTGAAAGATCCACATAAATTAAGGACTCAAGCCATGAGTGTACCATGTTCTTCCAATATGTATGATTTCTTTTGTATATAGATCAGAACAGCCAAGTTACATACACTCCATTTCCCTCTTCTCTCCCAATCTATCCCTTGGTCAAACTTATGGCACATCCTTTCCTACTGTAAATCCTTCCAGTACATTGTATCTGATGGAGAGATCTGGCCTGAATCTACCATAAAAGCAAGCTTCAGACAGGCATGAGGAGTGAGAAAAGAGTGAAAAAGAAAGGATACCTTTCTCATGTCCCCAGCTGCCGCTCCCACAAATATCCACCCAGATCATGGTCTATGTAGAGNACAGCTGGAAAAGGTATGTGGGTCAGACGGAGGGAGGGGGAAGAAATTCAAAATTATTGTAATTTGTAAGTAATTTTTTATTGTAAATAATTTGTGTGTGTGTGTGTGCGCGCGCGCGCACGGGTGTGTGTTTCTTTCTTCACTTCACTCAAACAAACTCTCTCTCAATTTGAGAGAGAATTTGTTTGAGACGAGAGGGAAGAGGTAGAGGCAGGGAGGGCAGCTTGTTTGAGAAGAGAGGGGCAGTCCGCCAGCAGAGGCGGGTCTTTTACCCGCCTCTGCTGGTGGGCTGGCCCTTTCTTTCGCCTGCTGTGCCCCCCTTCCCTTTCTCCTCTCCCCCCCACCGGGAGCCCCGTCCTGCTCCCCTCTCCCTTTCCTCCTCCCCTTCTTCCCTTTCTTCGCCGGCTGCCGCCTCGCCCCTCGCCCCCTCTGTTCCCGCCACTGTGTCCGACAGAGGCGTCTCGCATCTATGGCGGACATAGACGCGAGACGCCACTATCAAGGACAGCAGCAGGGACATTGCTTCTTGCCACCGCCATGCTCCGCCGCCTTACCCCCTCCATCCCCGCCGCTGTGTTCGACAGAGGCGTCTCGCGTCTACGGCGGACATAAACGCGAGATGCTTCTGTCGGGGACCGTGGCGGGGACGCTGCTTCTCGCCGCCACCACGCTCTTGCCCCACCAACCGTAAACCTCACCGCATGTCACTGCAATTAAGTTCATATCAAATGACTTTTTCTTTTACCACTATTATAGCAGAAGGTGATCAGTTTTAGGGAAAACACAATGAGATCTTATCACCCTCCAAAAATGGAAAAGTGAGATAGACAAGGAATGACATTCTAGATGTACAACCCAAGATATAACCACCCATATCAGTCACAAATCCATTTTAGAATTTTATATTCCCTGCTCCTTAAAATCCATATCAGACTACCAGATCTCACAGCAACTATTATACCACTGGAGAAATTCAATAGGAAAAATTTACAAAAGCATTATTTGAATCTAATGTCAGTTCCACAGTAGGATTCCAAGAAAAAAAGGTAAAAGTTATCACATCTATCTAAAAAAAAATTATTCGAGAGTGTATGTATGTATATAAAAGTCATGCAGAAATGATTAGTAAGTATTAAGAAGTGTAATAATTACATTTCATCCTTCAGGGTAATGAACACAGCCTTTCTTCATTTTCTTAACAGTATCAATATCATAGTAATTAAATTTGAAAAGCAATAACTGCAAAAAGCTTACTCAGATATTCGTAGAATGGTTTCTTTGCCTTCTTCAACTGAAATTTTAACATGATCCTTTACATGTTCTACAGTCAGCAATGCTCCTAAAATGATTACAAGATGGCTTATTTCACAGATAGATTTTTTAAAAAAATTCTCATAGCATTTCCTCTTTTACCTGAAGTTTACCAGTCAGGAAAACATTAACATTGTATCAATTGTCAACAATCTTTTCAGTATTAAAGAGAAGGTCTAAAATGTAAAGCAAGAGAAACCCCCACCCTCGGCAAAAAAAAGTTGCCAGAGCAGTGCACCATCACTTCCATGCCTTCCATGGAACTGACAGGCTGCAGTATTCATGCTGAGGTCATGTTGGGTATGTTTTTGTTTTAATTACTGAGATAATCATTTGCCAGTTTGTTTTTGTTGTACATTGTTCAGAATCAATGAGAATGGACTAGTTTATATGTCAAATAAATATATAAATAAAAATTTCATGGGCCTAAGGGGTTAAGTCTCATTGATATGAATATGTGCTCTCTACCTGTAAAGTAGAGAGTTAACAGCTGTGGAAACTTGGGAATGGATTGACATAGGAGAAATAATGTAGGGGAATTTAAGTCTCATCTTTTTAGAAAAAGCAGAGTGATTTCCAATACATTTATGGGAAGAAGAGAATCCCAAAATGAGGTTTACTGAGCAGCAGTGAAGGCTGGAACTTGAAGCTGAAGCCTAGCAATACCAAGTTCTCAAAAATTTACTGAAGCTTCCAGGTACACATATGCCAAATTATGGAAATTCTTGAAATTTCAATATTGTAAACAATTCTGAAAAATTATTATAGTACTTGGATTACAATAAGAAACTACCCTACTGTAATGTTGTATTAGATAAAAGTAATAAAGATGTGTTAAATTTCCAAATCAAATCTTTCTCAAAAATCTACTCCTGACTGCAATGTACAAATTCCCACAAAGGTACCACAGCAGCAACATCAGATTCTAGTTGACTTTGAAAAAATCAAGATATGGGTGAGTTTGGTTAGCACTTTAATGGAAGACCACTGGGAAGTCCCACACCTATAAGCCAGACTGGGAAAAATTCTGATAAGACGGCAGCTTATCACTTCCAGCTTATTGATGAGACTCACACATCATATTATCAGAAGTTGAGCTGAACTCAAGAGAGCCAGTAGAATTTCATCTTTCTAAGTCATTATTTAATGTTGTAGAAAAATATATAACTATATGTTATGCAAAACTGAAAATTCAATTAAGAAGCATCACTGCAGGCAAGATTATTTATTTCAAGCTACTCTACAGTCTCTTTGGGATGCAGAATGACAAGCTAAAATTACACACCTAGAAATTCCATGATTAAGCATAAATGCTCTTGAAGTACACCCTACTATGCCTATGGCAGCTCAGATTTTAAAAAGAAATACATTTAAAGAACTTTTACTAAGAGGTTATGCTACAAAACCATGTAAAATAAATGTTTAAAGGTGCAGTAGTCACTGTTACTTTTATCAGATTGTTATAGTTTAATTTTTTTCTCAGTTTGTCATTTTCATCTGTAGACTATATTCTGTTTTATAATGTTAACCCATTATGTCACTGCCACATCTTATTACATTCAGCAGGGCTTATATCCAAGTAACTCTACATTATTCTAGATAACAGTTAATATCCAAAACGATCACAAAACTAGGAAAATCACATAACCTTAGAGTGGGAAATATAATCTATAATGCAACATATTCAAAGCATAACTTGATATTTTGACTTTCATTTTAAAATCCAAAACATTTAAGCAGCAGAATGTAAACAAACTTGACTATTGACCAAGAAGAAAGTGACCAGGCAATGTTGTGGTTGGGGAAAAAATGCAGCAGGCAATCAGCATATTAACACAAATTTAACTATCCATGTGATAACTGATCTGGGTTTTTTAGTTTAGTTACTTTATTGTCATTGCACCTCGTACAATGAAATTAAATGCCATCTTCAGTGACACTACTACATTCACTACTACTACATTCAGAAGCCACACCTCGTTGGCAAGTGAAGCCAAAATTCGACTTTTCTGCATAAGCATGAGTCTGACTGGGCAGGGGGATGAAGATAACCCAGATACGCAAGTTAGTGGGTGAAAAACGCCTATGGCCTACATTTACTCCTCCATAGAGTCTCCCACAATCTGTGCCACGTGTCAGTGCTTTCTCTCTAATCCCCACCTCCACTGAACGTCTGGACCTCCTGATCCGCGTCTCTATCCATGTCAAAAGCCTCAAAAGCCCTTGTGAATTCATCCTCTCAGCCTCCTCCCCAACGACCTTTTGTTAGCCCCACACAAACACCCGTCCCAGATGACAGGAGCCCTTCCGCCCGTCGCTTTGTCCAGGAACCGGCTTTAACGAAAGAGAAAGAGGTGGATGAATGAAGAAGAGTCGGCCAATGGCCTCTCGCGGACGGTGCCTGATGCAACATGGCAGCAACACTTGCGCCGTGGAAGGGGAGATTAGGGCGAGCTGGGGCGGGGGTGGGGGGTGAAGGTTGAGCCGCGCACAACCGGCATGTATTTCGGGCAACAGGAGCGGGAATTCCTTACCGAGAGGCAAATCGCCGGGGTTGACAGTGAGGCTCAGCGCCATTCCAGCAGCGGCACTAGGAGAAAGAACCGAGAAGGAATGCGACACGGTTGCGAGGGCCGAGACCGCCCTCCCCTTCTCCAATCAGGCTCTAGTCCCGCCCCGGTCCCGCCTCCCAACTTGTCATAGCCTCGCCACGCCTTCGCCTCCCGCCCGCCCGCGGACGCCCCTTGGAGTTTTTCCTCTCAGGAGCTGCAACGCCCGATTTCAAGTTGGGTTTGCGGAACGCGCTGCGAGGCTATTTCCAAGCACGTTTCGTGTAGCCCTTAATTAGACCCAACAGAATGAAGCTCGGGTTTGCTCCTGTTGAGCTTGACCAAGACTGAAAAGCTGAGCCCCTTTTTTAGTCTTCAGAAACATCCGTCACTAAAAGGGACCGACTCTGCCACACATTTGTCCCGCACCAGCTGTTTCTGAGAGCTGCACCTGTTTTCAGATGCAATGCAGAGGAATTCAAATTGCTAGTTTTCCAGGTTCAGAACTATCTGTCAAACGTACTGGAATAAACCAGGAAAAGAGCTCTCTTTTAACAGAGATCAAAACAATTAAAATCTACAAATAAAAACTTCACAAAAGTATCAACAAAATTATAATTTTATTTCAAGAACGTATTTTTCAGAGTATAAAAGCTAAAATAGGTATATTTCCAGATTTCTCCATATAAACATCTCACGTGAAAATGGAGGAGGTGAAAATTAGGCACAAAACTGACATACATCCCATACATCCATGTATATATAAACAAAAGAGCTAGCTAGCTAGCTAGCTAGACAAAATGATCCCTTCACATGATC